CTCTGAGGATCGCTCGTCTTCCCCTCCTCCCCCCCCCCCCCATGTGTGTGAGCACAGGTGGGTCGCGCGGATGTTCGGAATGATCGTCTCAGGTCCCTGGAGAAGTGCTCGCGCTTGAGGTCGCTGGACCTGACCGGGTGTGTGCAGGTACGGCACGGGGGGGGCAAGGGGTACGGCACGGAGGGGAAGGGGGTGGGGAAGGGGGAGGGGAGCCAGTGGGTTACCGAGCGATGGGAACTGGCGGGGGGAATAGACCTGCCGCTTCTCTACAGCTAGAGCGGCGGCGGCTGCTGTTTCCTCAGCTAACGATGATGTCCTAAATGACTGGAGGCGCTCCATCAACGGTCAACGGTCAACGGTCAACGGTCGCTATTTTTGATGTGATGGTGATGTTCTCGCCGCAGCCGCAGCCGCCGGAGGTCCCCCGCCCGCACCTCGCCTCACCTAACCTCGGGTGACCACCTTCCCCCCCCCTGCCGCCGCCCCCTCACGGGTCGCTGACTTTATCATCACTTAGGACTCATCCACTCACTCCTTGGGGGGAGTTTCGGCCTTTGGAAACCGCCTTACGGCAGCAGCTCCCTTTCACTCCTTCCTTCACTCCTGGTTTCCTGGCAGCATTTATGATTCCCCCCCTTCCCTTGTGTGGTTCGTCTTTCCCCCCCTTCCCCCCTCTCTCTCCCCCAACCCCGCCGGGCTCCCCCCCAGGTCAGTGACGTGGGGGTGGCCTCCCTGCGGCGCCACGGCGGCCTCCAGAGGCTGCGACTGAGCCACTGCGTGACACTGACGGATGCCGCCCTGAACCACGTGAGAGGTACGGCAGCGGTTAGGGGTAGCTGGGAGGAGTGAGGGAATAGTTAGGGGTAGTTGGAGGAGCGGTGGTGGGATGAAAATACACACATGCATACACACACATATACAAACATACACATATACATACGCACACGTGTCGTACGGCAGGTCTGACAGGTCTTCAGGAGTTGGAGCTCCGGGAGTGTGAGCTGATCACGGGCGAGGGCCTTATGCAGCTGTCGGGACTCACCCAACTGAAGACGCTGGATCTGGACCAGTGCAGGAGAATAAAGGTGGGGGTGGCCTGTGTCCATCTGTCCATCTGTTTGTCTGTCTGTCTGGTCGTGTTTTATGTACAAGTACAAACAGGCGGTTGTGCTTGTTTGAGTTCATCGGGTATGAGGGCTGGATGTGGGGCTGGTGAAGGTGGGGCCGCAATGGGCCTCTCCCGGGGGGTGGGGGAGTGGGGGTTTGGGGGGGGGGAGAGTGGGCAAATCTCGAGCGTGTGTGTTTCTATGTGTGCATGAGTATGCGCGTGCGCGTGCGAGTAAGGCTTCCCCAAGCACATACGTACATACATACTTACATACTTACACGCCCACAGGGCGGTCTCCAGCACCTCACCTCCCTGCGCCATCTGGCCACTCTCCGCCTGGGCTGGTGCCCCCTGCTGGGGGACTCGGAGGTGACCTGGCTGCGGGAGCTGGGGCAACTCAGGGAGCTCAGACTGGCATACACGCAGGTAAAAACCTGTGTACGAGCATACGTACGGCAGGAGGGAGATGATGATGATGATGAGCTGAAAAGGGAAAATGAGGGGAAGGGGAATTGCAAGGGGGGGAAGTCCGGGAAGTAGGTCATGGTACGAATTATGGTACGGAAAATAGTTTAAAGAATATAGTTAATACATATAATAATTTCCCCTCATCCCTCCCCCCGTTCACCCCCCCCCTGACCCGCCGCTGTCATGCCCCGGCGGCCCGCAGGTCACGGATGTGGGTGTGAGCCACCTGGCCGCCCTCACGGCGCTGACTCACCTGGACCTGGGGGGCTGCACCCGGCTCACGGACGCGGCGGCGGCCCCTCTGCAGCGGCTGACGGCGCTGCAGGTGACCACCACCACCACCACCACCACCGGCACCCACCACCACCACCACCACCGGTAGCCACCACCACCACCACCGGTAGCCACCACCACCACCACCTTTCCACCACCACCGGGCGTATGGGCGTATGGGATCATGGGCTGATTTCGGTTGACCTGGGGGCTATGGGGGGTAATGGGACTGACTCGGTGGTTGGGTGGGTGGTTGGGTGGGTTTTCCTGTGCGCGCACGTGTGTCTGCATGTTTGTGTGTGTATATATATATATATATATATATATATATATATACATACGTACGTATGTACGTGTTTATGCGTGCAACCCGCCGTCCCCCGCCGCCTGTTAACCCATCACCCGCCCAACCCGCCATCGCTTGGCCAAGCAGGTTCTTTCCCTGTACGGCTGCGGCCAGTTCGGAAATGCAGGTGAGTGGCGGGGGGGGGGAGGGGGAGGGGAAGGGGAAGGGGGGGGGAATCGCCTCCAGGATATGCCAAAAACATCACAGCAACGCACACGCCCACACACACGTCACGCGGACGTCGCGTGCACGAGAAAGACAAGGAAGCCCTTGGTGACATACTTACATATTTACATACATACGGACGGACATGACCCGTCCCGACCCGACGTCGCCACTTCGCCCCCCCGCCTCTTCCGACCGCCTCTGGAGAGTTTCCTCCTCCTCCTCCTCCTCCTCCTCCTCCTGCTCCTCCTGCTGCGGCCCCCAGTGTTTGGAGGAGTTGACCTTTTTGCTTTGCGTAATTACGTAATCCCTTCCGTGTAAATGTCAACGGCCCGCAGGCCTCGCCATGCTCATTGCCGTACCGCTGCTCTCCCTGAACAGCCTCACCCTGTCGTACACTGCCGTAACCACTCCTGGCCTCACTGCATTGTCCTCCCTGAGCCGCCTGACCCTCCTCAGCCTGGACAGCTGCGCGGTGGGGGATGCGGTGTGTCGGGTGAGTGTGTTTTGTGTGTGTGGGGGGGCTGGGGGGGAAATGGGGGATACGACGAAGCATAGATGACTGACGCGAAGGGGGGTTGAGGGGGAGGAGGTTGGAAGGGGGTGGGGTGAAGGGGGGAGGTGAGTGTCGTTAACCGTTAGGGTGATGGACGCGACCTTCAGACAGACAGACAGACAGACAGACACTAGTGATATTTTCTTCTCTTATAGTACAGTTCTATCCCTCTCTTTTTACTACGTTTATCTTCATTCATTTTCGTCTTCCCCTCCCTCTCCTCCTCAACCGCCTCCTCCGCCTCCTAAGGTTCTCCGCCGGCTGCCCCGCCTGGCCAACCTGGACCTGTCCGAGACTTCCGTGGGAGACGGCGGACTGGACGCCTTAACCGTACCGTTGACCGGTCAACAACAGCAGCAACAGCAACAGGCACTACAGCCGCCGCCGGCGCCGCCAACGCCGCCCAACTACCACCACCACCACCGCCACCACCACCGCCAAACCAATATCAATCAGGACCCTACGGGGGTAGCAGGCGACGAAGCAGCAGTAGCAGCAACAGCAGTAGCACCGCCATCATTAGCAACAGCTGCTGCGGCAGCAGCAACCGTAGCAGTAGCAGGATCAACGGGGAGGTATCCATTCGCCGCTACAGCCGCTGTTCAGACGAGGCATTCGGGGTGTGGCAGTAGCGGCGGCGCCGTCACCGCCGCCGTCACGGCGGCGCCGCCCCCTCAGGTGTCGGGCCCTCCGACTTCCCTCACACACTTGAAGCTGACCTACACAAAGGTGAACGAACTGGGGATGCCGGGGAAATGTGTTTTTGTGAGTACGGTAACAAAAATACATTGCAGACACCAGTGCATTGCAGGTCTGTACATGCCATGTATCATCTCTGTGTTGCCGTACTTGATGATTTTTCTTGTAACTAGAGTTGTTGGCTCCTGGGCCGTCCGGTCATGCATCTGAATGTCAACGTATTGTCAGACTGTCAGCTGCGAGGTACCCCCCGCTTTGTGCGTCTGTATGTGTATGTGTATGCGTCTGTATGTGTCTGTATGTTGCGTGCGCCAGCCATTCGCCACCTGTCACGCCGGCGCCATGGAATGCTTGGGCTAAAACCAACCTAAACCCCTAAACCCCAGATCACTGACGAGGGGCTGAGCAAGTTGTCTCTCCTGGTGGGGTTGCAGCAGCTGGATCTGGATTCAGGTGGGGAGAGGGACGTCTGGATCTGGTCACCTGGAATCAGAGTAGACCAGGGTTGAGAGTAAAAAACCTGGATCTGGATCTGGATCTCGATCTGGATCTCGACCTAGTCTACACCCCCCCACCCCGCGCCGCACCCCCTCTCCTCACC